AATCTCTCTCTCTTAAAAAAAAAAAAAAAAAAAAAAAAGAAAGGAATTCATTGAAAAGGGCAGCAAGAGTTAGTTATAAGCTTTTAAATAAGAAACCTCATAACAGAAAAGGTAAGGCTCTATTATATGCCAACATGGCTACCTAAGCACTGAAAACTGAGATCACTAGTGAAGACCATTTAAAATGCTCCTAAAAGGACATAAAAGAGTGGAAAGATATAACGTGATCCGGGCTAGGAATATTCAGTCTAGTACAGGTGGCAATCTCCCCCAAGTTATCTGTACATTCGCGAAGATGAGACACGCCAATCCTTATATTCAAACAGGAACACGAACGGTAGTCTGGCGCTGGGAGCGCAAAACCACTAAGATGCTGGGACCAGGGAGAGGTCTGGGCTGGATGCCTGCAGCTCCTGCATGCCAGGTGTGGTGGCATGTGCCTAACCCCAGCAACTCAGGCGGCTGGCCTAGACAGCACAGTGGGAGTTAAAGTAAGTCATCTGGGCATGGTGGCATACTCCTGTGATCCAAGTAACTCGGAAGGCTGAGGCAGCAAGGACTGCAGTTTGAGGCTAGCCCGACAAGACTCTTTTTTTTTTTTTAGAGAGATTTTTGTCAGAGGGCGCACACACTCACCAGAAAGACAGAAAGTGAGAAATCACCCTTTAGAGGGATGGTCATGCCGCAATCCCTTCTCCTTCATTCTCCTCTTGGGATCTTGGGCACACATGCATATGTACCTAGCATGAATTTCAAGCTGCCAGGTCTGGACTCAAACCGTGGTTGACTATGGTTTACTATGTGGGAGTCCAGTGATGTAGTCATTATGCCACCTGCTGGTCCCTGGAAGACTCTTTAAAAAAAAAGGGGGGGGGCAGGCATGGTGGCCTGTAGTCCCAGCTGGAAGGCTGGTTCAGGAGGATTGTGACAAGGAGAGATGATATTTTTTTTTAATTGCTTATTATTTTTAAAAAATTGACAAGAGAGAGGGAAAGTGAGAAAGCAAGCTGCCAGGTCTGGGACTTGAACCATGGCTGCCCATGTGGGAGTCCAGCACCTTAACCACCATGCCACCTGTTGGCCCCGAGAGGTGACCTCTTAAACAAATAAACAAACAATGAAATCCATAAATAAGAAAGAAACCCCAGCACAATTCTAATAAAGAAGAGCAGTGAGCGAAGATTAACTCTACCAGATCAAATATATCACAGCGGTCCCCCCCTGTCCAGGGTTTTCCACCATTTCGGTTACTTGTGGTCAACCACTGCCCCCAGATTGGTAAGGACAGCACAAGGTATTGAGAGAGAGAGAGAGAGAGAGAGAAAGAGAGAGAGAGAGAGAGAAAGCAACCCCTAGGAGGGATGGCCTCAACATGGTTTCTTCTCCTCTCAAGATTTTGGGCATGCACATATATGCACCCCGTGTGTTTTTCAAGCCACGGGGTCTAGGACTCAAACCGTGGATTTGGCTATGTGGGATCCAGGCACCCTAACCACCATGCCATATGCTGACCCAAAAAACTGACAGGGTTTTTCTGCAATAAGGTTATTCTATTCTGTCTAGGTCTGGTGGGACAGCTATAGACTGAGGAAGAACGGACAGTGAGGGGTGCAGCAGGACAAGACAGATTGTGTTAAGGAAAACAACTGGGGCTGGCCCTGTAGCCAAGTGGTTCAGAGACCTAGAGCCCACAGAGCTGACTGTAGTTTGAATCCCAGCCTGCTGGTTTGAAAAACAGGCCAGGTACATGGGTGCATGCCCCAAATCCCTACAGAAGGAAAAATTGAGGAGAAGGGATTGTGGCATGACCACACCATTGGGGGGTGCTTTCTCCTTCCCTGTCTCCCTCTGATGAGTACATGTGCCTTCTTGCAATTAAAAAAAAAAAAAGGAATCTGTATGGGAAATAAATTCGACTCCTTTATTTTTAGCTAGTTAGTTGGTTCACTTGTTCATTCATTTATTCATTCCATGAAAGAGAGAGAAAGAGAAAGCCCCCGCCTCCCCAAAGAGGGTTTTCATGCCATGCCCCACCCAAGCCGCAGCCATTTCAGATTACAGGCACGTATTCACATGAGCCCAGTGTGCACACGGAGAGGCCTGGTGATGTGAACCTGGGCCTACCCGTGTGGGTCCACATCCCAGAGCATTATGTTACTTCTGCTCCACCAGCTGGCCCCTGTGTGTGTGTGTGTGTGTGTGTAGGGAGGAGAGAGGTTGTTTGTTTATTTGTTTTTAGACAGAGTCTCCCCATGTCATGATCTTCCTGCCTCAGTCCTCTGAGTACCTGGGACCACAGGCACCTGTCACCATTCCTAGCTTTTAGGTTGAGCCAGGAATGAAACCTGGGTACCACATGGCCCCATGCTGCCACACAGCAGCATCTAATGCATGCTACTGCAGCTAGGCCCTTTTCCAGCTCACTCTTTATATTATTCTATCTCTTCTACAGGCACTGACATCTCCCTAACTTTGTTTGTTTTTTTAAGAGGTTTTTACCATAGGGCGCATGCGTTCGCTGGAGAGAGAGAGAGACAGAAACAGGAGAGGGAAATTGAGAAATCATCCCCTAAGGAGGATGGCCATGCAGCAATCCCTTCTCCTCCATTCTCCTCCTGGGATTTTGGGCACACACGCAGACATTTCTGGCATGATTTTCCAGTCACTGAGTCTGGGACTTGAACCGTGGTTGGCCATATGGGAGTCCAGCAACGTAACCACTACGCCACCTGTTGGCCCGTTTCTTTCTTTTACTGCCTAAATTTCACACACATCCTTTCTCTCTCTATCTTCAAAGTTCATCTCTCCATCTAAGTTCATCTTCTTTTACTCTTTCCTTCCCTTCCCTTAAATAATCATAATATAGGATCTTAGATACCTAAAAATTAGTCTTGCATATACAAAACCAGATTTATTTCTCTGAGTTGAATTTTTATATTTCACTTTCTTGAAGAAAAAAAAAAGGTTAACTTAAAATTGTTTTGTTAGGGGGAACCAGCAGTTAGCGTAATGGCTATGTAGCTGGACTCCCACGTAGTCGACCGCGGTTCATGTCCCGGACCTGGTGGCTTAAAACTCACGCTGGGCGTGTGTGCGTGCGTGCCCAAGATCCCGAGAGGAGAATGGAGGAGAAGGGATTGCGGCGTGACCATCCCCCCTGGGGGGT